ACCTGTCCAGGAGAAGAGTCTTTCTGGCAGTGTAAATTTGATTTAGGTGTTCTTTCATTCAACTTAATGGTAAAGGAAAATGAAAGATTATTTCTTCAACTCAGGTAACTTTTAGATCATTCAGTGTGGCTGGATGTTTTCTAAACAACAGCATAATAATACTGAAAGTAGACATTTCATTCATTTTGTGTTTTAACAATTTGATTCTAGTCCTTGAAAGTGAAGGCTCAATACATAGCATAATATGTCTCAAAGCAAGTATGTAAAGTATCTCAAAGGAAATAAAAAATATTACATAGGGAATAAAATTCAGTGTTACAATCACGTCTCCACTGGCATTTGATGTGACCAATATCATGTCTCCACTGGCATTTGATGTAGGTGACAGGGCAGGTTTACCAAAAGAGTGTGGTCACACTGGGTTCTAACAAGGGACTCAAAACCACCTGAGAACAATTGTGCAGGAAAACAATGCAATTAACAGCTGAACCCCAAAATTCTATATAGCTTTAAGTTATAGCTGTTCCTTAGAGCACTCACCTATTGACTGATCCTGGTATATGCCAAGAAAGAGCAGTATATCTTTGGGCTGTAGGTAGTCAAAGTCTGGAAAATGGGGCAAAAAGTCTCTGTTGGGCTGGTGAATATAACCCTGCCAACAGAGACATTTCCCCTTGTTCTGCAGCCTTCTCCACCCCATTGCCAACCACTGAGGCGAATGTACTGAAATGGCATAAGAGGACTGGTATTTGATGCTGGGAGAAAATGACATTAAATCAGCTTGAGATTCACGCAGAAACTGGAAAGTGTGCAGGTCAGCCTGGCCTTGTAGAAGTAACATTTAGATGGACATGGATAAGAATGTCCAATACTCCTATTTACATAATTTAGGGGCTTCTCTCTTGTATAGATAATGATGGCACAAAATTTTTCTACAGACAAACATGATCAGATTCTCATTTTGATTTTAATTACTTCAAACGGACTAGGCATGCATTATAGGACCAAGATTTATCTCCTGAGCTGAGAAAATTGGGATGCTTGAAAAATTAATTAGGAAAGAGCTAAATAATTATAACAAATACCTGGACCCAATCATCTTTCCTTACTTATCATGAAGTCTCCATTTAGCATGAGTGTATAAAGCATGTCTAAATCTATAGTTCTTAACCCTGGCTGCACACTGGAATCACCCAGGGATCTTTAAAAATATAAATGCTTGGGCCTTACCCAGTGGTGCGCTTGTAATAAGGCTCCCCATATCTACAACAGAAAGCCCTGACTTGTAGTGTTTGCCCACTTTTGTGGTGTAAATACTCCCACAGTGGCTAATTTAATGCTGTCAACTGGCTTGCAAAACTCCTGGAAATTTAATGATCATCTTTTACAAGCTGGTATGAACTGGCTCCATCTCAGCACTGTGGTTCTACCCCTAAAAATTCTGATTATTGACCTCTAAGGTGTGATCCAGTTATACATACTTTTAAAAGCTCCTCAGGTAAATCAACTGAGTGGCAAGCTTGAGAACCAGTAATCTGAATGGCCACACTAATGAACAGGTATAGTGTAGCTCTGATACAAATATCTTTAAGAGCCCCATAAATCACCTTTTGAGAAGCAGTGTGGTGCAGTGTTCATAACTTGGGCCCTGGGATAGACTGCCAGGTATAAATTCTGCCCTTTTCTGGTTGTCTGCACCATCTCTGTGCCTTGGTTGCCTCATCTGTGAAATGGCACTAACTCAAGGAGAATATGAACCTCAGATAGCTGTGTTAGTATACAAAGAGCTCTTAGCATGATGCCTGCCTGGCTCATGAGAGCTGATCCTGGGATTCTCTACCCTGTTGCACAGGCCTGTGGAGTTCATGTCCATTTGGGTTATCAGTAAAGTTACTGTCTGTTTTGTTTTTTGCTTTAATCCAAATTTTGGTCCAACCACCATATTTCTCCATAAAATCTGCCATAGATTTTCTGATTTCTTTTGAATATGAAATCACAGAGGATGAGTGAGATGCTGGACTATGCAGAGTAGGCCTCAGTCTTAGGAAAAAGGCAAGACAGAGACAGGAGCCCCTGGTGTCAGGGAGCTGCACTTCTGAAGACTGGTCATTCTGGGTCCTCGATGTAACAATTCTGTAATTCCACAGCCAACAGAGCCCAGAATAAATATCACATTGATGAACTTGATCTCAGCTGTCCTGTTTATCCACTGTCTTGCATTCAAGTGGCACTGACCTAGTTTGAATAATTTGCACAATATATCTTGGTAATCAAACTAACCTGCTATTTCACTAGGCTAAATCATTATTTCAGAAATATAACCATTTTGATTAAATTATTGGGGCCATCAAATACTGCTGCAACACCATATTCTAATCCTGCTTGACTGTTGTTCTTCCCCGACTTTTAGCAAAAGCAATGAACATATTCTTTACTTTGCCTGGGAGGCTTTGGAAAAAAATAGGGAGGACACACACACACACACACACACACACACACTCACACACACACTCACACACACATCACTACTGTCATATTTTTAATAGGCATATACAAGTACTAAAAAAATAATAAAAGAATAACAAATATAATGAAACTTTCTAATGTCCCAGCTATGCCCTCTTTCATGAAATCATCTCGTCTAGGAAGATATTCATTGGAAGAGAAGTTTCATCACAAGCACAGAAGAACTTTAATATCTCCTCAATAATCTGACATTTCTTACTTGACTATGTATGATATCATGGTTAAGGAAAAAAGAATTCTGCTCTTATTGATTCTTACTATCTACCTAAACCTCTTAACTGTTCTCCAATTTTTTTGTCCTGTCTATAGGTAAATGCATGGGACTTCAATGTTAACAGGGAAAAGGGTATGAAGGCAAGTAAAAGGAGAGGGCATGAGTTGAGGAAGACATAAATTCAAGGGTGGATTCAAGTGGTAAATTCATATAATGGAATACTCTATACTAATGAAAACGAACCAGCCATAGCACCAGAACACATATTAATCTCACAAACATCAAGTTCATATATATAATTCCACCTGAATAAGGTCCCAACAGGCAAAGACAATCTCTGGTATTAGAAACCAAAATAGATACGACCTTTAGGGAAAACAGAGATAGATAAGAAGAAAGGGACATTTACTGGGGAAACTTCTTTTTCTTGACCTGGGTGTTGGCTTCCCAGTTGTGTTCACTTTGTGATAAGTAATTCATCTGTACAGTTATGATGTGTGTGTTCTATGTACATATATAAAGTGTTCAAAAGTTTTTTTTCCAATGGCTCTCAGGGCTAACTGGATAGCCCCATGCAAAAAGCTGAATTTTGACTCCTTATCTCATTGCATACATAAAAATTAACTCAAAATGGATCAAATATCTAAGTGCTCAACTTCTGGCTTATATCCAAACACTTCATCTATAGCTTAAAACTGTAAAATTCTTAGAGGGGAACATAAATTAAATATCCATGACCTTAGATTAGCTCTGATTACTAAGGCACAAGCAACTAACAAAAACAAAAAGGTAAAGTGGATTTACCAGACTTGAAAACTTTGTGTGTCAGAGGACAGGAGTAAAAAAGTAAAAAGACAATTCATAGAACGGGGGAAATATTTGTAAATCATATATCTGATAAGGGTTTAGTATATAGACTATATGAAAAACTCTCACAACCCAACAACAGAAAGATAAATAGTCCAATTTAAAAAGGGGCAAAATAATTTCAATAGGCATTTCTATAAACAAGACATATATAGCTAATGATCACAGGAAAAGCTCAACATTATTAATCATTAGGGAGATGCAAATCAAAGCCACAATGAGATATGGCTTCATACCAACTAGGATGACTATAATAAACACACACATACATGCATGACCAGACAATAACCAGTGTTGGTGAGGAGATGAACAAATTCTAACCCTTATACATTACTTCTGAGAATGTAAAATTGGGCAGCCACTTTGAAAAACAGTCTCTTAGTTCTCAAAAACTTACACATTGAATTGCCATTTGACCCAGAAATTGTACTCCCAGGTATAAATCCAGAAGAACTGAAAACATAGATCCAAACAAAAATTTGTATATGCAGTTGATAGCAGCATTATTAATAACATCCAGAAACTGGAAACAACGCACATATCCATCAACTGATAAATGAATAAAAGAAATTTGGTATATCAATACAACAGATATTTTTTGGCCATAAAATGGAACAAAATACAGAAACTTGTCAAAATATGGATGCTACATGAAACAGGCCAGAAACAAAAAACCGCATACTGTATGATTCCATTTTTTATGAAGTGCCCAGAATAGGCAAACCTATAGAGACAGAAAGTAGATTAGTGGTTTCCAGGATTTGGAGGGAGGGAATATGGGATGTATATACTAATGAGCATGGGGTTTCTTTTGGGATAATAAAATTGGATAGTGTTAATGGTTGCACAACCTTGTAAGTATACTAAAAACCACTCAATTATAAACTTCAACTTGGTAAATTTTATGGTGAATTATGTCTTAATCAAAATTAATTTGATAAGTGAATTAATGATTTTCATTTTCTTTTTCATGGTAGAGCTTTGAAGGCCAGATTGTTTAGGGATGGTGACAGAAGTGGTTGGAGGAATAGTACAATATGATCCAGGGGATAATGAATGTGGGTACTGCATTTCTTAGGGTTGGATGAAAAATGCTTGTTAATCAAGATGCTTCCACTGTGAATGCCATTCCACAGGGCTGGGTGCCACCTGTGAGGCTGGTCTGGATTTTTTCCTCCAGCTAACGAAGCAATTTGGGAGATGAGTGTCCTCTCTCAAACCTGCTGGAGATGGTCTCTTAGAGCAGGCAGGGTACCTTGGACAGAGGGAGCCTATTACTGATGAGATCGGGCTTTGCAGGGAGGGAGAATTGAGCAGAAAGCCCAGCATGATGAAGTCACCACTAATGAAAGGGCAGGAATGAGGTAACAACAAAGAGAGGCATAGCTTTTACCATTGTGCTTCTGCAGAAATCCGATGACCTTTTCCAGTACAGTGGTTTTGTCCATTTTCCGTGTGTTTCCAGGGAGCATGGAGCTAAGCTCTTTGATGAGAATATTGAACTGGTCCCGACGCTTCTTCTCAGACTTGTTTCGAGAAGCTCTGTAAACACAAAACACACAAGTTACTGGAAAATTCTGCTTCATAAAGGCTTTCTTATGAAATGGAGGTACTTTCTTTCAGCACATGTTCTGTTGTGATCATCCAATCAACACTCTTTCAGGGAAAGTAGCATTTGCCATAATTCGGAGCTGAATGAAGGAGACAGAAAAGCGTTTTGCTAGACTCTTGTCCATAAAAAAAGACAGTATTAATAAGTAAGTTCTGACTCAGTTGCAAAATTGTACAGATTAGCTGTTGCCAGATGTTGCTTTTTCTGACTTCACAGAGCTTTGACCTTCAAAGAGCAAGGAACATGCTGTTTAGACACTGCAGTCCAGGGGGTTTCTCTCAGATAGTCAGTCCTTCCTTGGCCTCAAACTATGTTCCCCAACTTAGGGCACCCAGCCTTTGGTGCCAAGTCATGGATGGTGCCAAGCCAGGATCCTGAGTGCCCAGTAGAGAACCAGTGCCACCCAGAGCATACGTCTGGGCCACTGCCCCAGAGCTCATTATCTTGCCTGGGAGATGAAGCACACCCCACATGAAACCATCTGCAAGTCATGCCCAACCCAGGGCCAATGTGTGATAGGGGCTGCTTGTGGGTGTCATGCTGATAAGAGTGGCTAAACACTTTTAACGACACGGGGGAAACTTAAATGCATATTACCAAGTGAAAGAAGCCAATCAGATAAGGTTACATACTGCATGATTCCAACTGTATGACATTCTGGAAAAAAAACTATGGAGACAGTAAAAAGACCAGTAGCTGTCAGGAGTTGAGGTAGTGAGAGATAAATAGGAAGAGCACAGAGGATTCTTTAGGGCAGTGAAACTACTCTATATGATACTATAATGATGGATACCTGTTATTATACATTTGTCCAAACCCAGAGAATGTACAACACCAAAGTGTAACTTCATATAAACTATGGACTTTGGGTGATTATGATGAGTCAGTCACTGGAGGTTCATCAATTATAGCAAATGTACCACTTTGGTGGTGTGTGTTGATAATGGAGAGGCTGTGAATATGTAGGGACGGGGAGTATATTGGAAAGTACTCCTTTCCAATACTCTCCTGTACTCTCCATTCTATTTTTCTGTGAACCTAAAACTGCTCTAAAAAATAAGTTTATTAAAAAATTATGCTAAGCGAAATAGGCCAGGGGGTGAAAGAGAAATACCATATGATCTCACCTATAAGTGGAACCTAACCAACAATACAAAGATGCAAGGAAAATAAGACCAGCAACACTGAAAGGAAAAGAAACCAACAGACACAAGAGGGAAGGAGGGAGGGGGGCGGGGCAAAAAGAAGGGAAGGGGAAAGTCAAGGAACATATAGCAAGGACTCATGGAAAAAACCAAAGGGGAAGAGTTGAGGGAGGGATAAAGGGAAAGTGGTGAGGAAAAGGCAGAGACAAATGCATTTGAAAAAATAAATAAACTTTAAAAAAAGAAAATAAAAAAAAATCTTAGGATTCAAAAAAAAATTTTAAAAAATAAAAAATTAACACATAACACTGCACACCTACACAGAGATCCAAGTGCATCTGTTCAGGTGAGGTGGGGGAGCCCTCTGGAGGCCCCTCTGAGAAACCCTAGGATTCCCAGAAACTTGAATAGGAAGTCACAGCTAATAGGACACACAATGCAGGAAGCCTACCCTCACTGGAGAAGTCTGGGAAGCAGGGCCACTCCAAAGGCCTCAACCCTTAATTATACACCAAAGTCCCAGGGGCTGTCTCTCAGCTCCACGGGATGGGTTCCACATCAATGTTCAGCTCATTCAAAAGTGATGCAAGCCTGGGAAAGCTGACCTACCATTCCCAAACTCACCCAGGACAGAATGATCTGCAAGTCAGCTCACTGGGAGAGCAGGGGCCATGCTGCAGGGCCTGTCAAACATGGTCAACCTACTGCTCTGGCACCCTGGGGCCTGGGATCAAGGTGTCTGGGGGAGTTGATCACTTGTTCTCATCAGAGGGATTCATCTTGCTTGGGGTAGGTGTCAATATCTACAGGTGTCAGGATCAGGTGAAGATTCTGCTTCCCCCAACAGCCCTTGGAAATGCAGGGACTCATCACAAATGCCCTTTCCTAGATGGCATGGTGACCATAATGACTCTGTTTGCCTCTGCCTAATAACACTCAACCTGTTTTTATAACACACCCATTTATAAGCCATCTTTTCCTTATTACAGTTCAGTTTGGGCTGTTTTCTGATAGTATCTCAGGCAATTCTTCAAAGCTCACCTAAAGTGGCCACCCATACCTAAGGGTTTCTTCCTTTTCCTTACTTTCTTTTCATTCTCATCCTTGGGTTTTTGGGAGGACCTGAAATTCTTAAGAGGTTTGTACAAAGGTCTCATTCCTACCCAAGCACTGTCTTCCCATATGCTTTCTCAGTCACACACTTACTGGAGGTGTAGCAGTAAGATGCTGCTTGTTCTTTCGCTGGTCCATAGTAAAAAGCATAGTGTTCAAGCACATGGGAGAGAAGAAAGGAATCTTTTAATATTCTGAGTGGTTGTCTGTGCATTATAAATATTTTTTGGCCTAGATTTTAAAGAGTGACATGCGACCTCCTTAGCCAAAAAAAGCACTGTTCCTGTCCTACTTTTCCCATTATATATTACTTGTGAGCTGACAACATCCAGCTTATTATTACTCTGTATTCCTCTTCAACGGCTGTAATGACAATGAACATGGCTCATATCATGACAGGAACACAAGCTTGTTTCCATCAGCTTCTGCCTAGGATGCACAATAGTGCCCACTGGAAACTAGTTACTATTAGCTAGATCCACAGCTCTGAGGCAGGAAAAAGAAAACAAAGCTTGAGGTACCTTATTTTCAGTGAGGTCTGCTGGGCAAGTCCCAAGACCATCACTCCTAAGGCACTGGGATGACAAATTGAAAGACATGTAAGCAATCAGCTTTTGGGTTGTTTTTCCTTTAAGGCACTATTTATATCAATAAAACTTACCCATTTTAAGAGTATAGGTTGATGAATTTTGGTAACTGTGTAACCACCACCAAAACCCACATAAAAAGCAGTTCCCTTACCCTTAAAATGTTTTCTCCTACTTCTTTGTTGGTGATCTCTCTTTGGTGACAGCCACAGAAAGCCACTGATCACTTAAGTTTTGCCTTTTTTTTAGAATTTCATATAAATGGAAGCAGAAAGTCCATTGACTTTCATTTAACATAAAGTTTTTGAGATTTATCCATGTTGTTAATATAAATTAATATTCTATTGTTTTTAAATGCCAACTAGTATCCCACTGGGATGTTTCCAGTTGGGTTATTAAGAATAATGCTGTTCTGAATATCCATGTCCATGTCTTTGTGTAGACATAGGCCTTCTTTTCTCTTGGATAAATACATAGGTGTGAAATCACTGAGTCATATGAAAAATGTATCTTTAACATTATCAGATACTGCCATCCTGCTACACAAAGGGGCTGTACTGTATTTGCAATTCCACCAGCAATGTATGAGGCTTCCAATTGCTCCACATCCTTGTCAACTCTTGGTATTGTCAGTCTTTTTTTCACTTAGCCATTGTGGTATTATCTTATTGTGGTTTTAATTTGCATTTTTCTGATGACTAATGATGATAAACATCTTTCACATGCTTAATATTCTCTCATATATCTTCTTTTGTGAAGTGTCTGTTCAAATCTTCTGCCCATTTCACATCACATTGCTTCTTCTGATTGAGTTTAAGAGAGACAGAAAGAGAGAGAGGTAGAAAAGAGGGTTGGAAGAAGGGGAAGGTGTGTGTGTGCGCATGTGTTTTAAATATACATTGATACAAGTCTCACCTTTTTTTTTTTAATTTTATTTTTTTATTTTTTTATTTTTATTTTTTATTTATTTACTTTTTAAATACATTTGTCTCTGCCTCTCCCCCACCTCTTTCCCTTGCCCCCTCCCACCTTCTCCTCACCTTTTGATTTTGTTTTTGTTTTTAGCCTTTCTATATCAGTGTTTTATTTTTATTTTTTAATTAATTTATTTTTCCAAATACATTTGTCTCTGCCTTACCCTCACCACTTTCCCCTGTCCCCTCCTTCCTCCCCCTCCCTCAATCCTTCCCCACTTTGGTTTAGTCCATGAGTCCTTGCTATATGTTCCTTGACTTGCCTCTTCCCTTCCTTTTCCCCCACCCACCCCTTCCTCCTTCCCTCTTGTGTCTGTTGGTTTCTTTTCCTTTCAGTATTGCTGGTCTTATTTTCCTTGCATCTTTGTTTTGTTGGTTAGGTTCCACTTATAGGTGAGATCATATGGTATTTGTCTTTCACCCCTGGCTTATTTCGCTGACCATAATGCTCTCTAGTTCTATCCATGCTGTCGTGAAGTTTAGTAGTTCTTTTTTTCTTTCTGTTGCTTTTCTTTCTGTTCTTTTGGGGTCGTTTATGGTTCCATATAAATTTTTGAAATGTCTGTTCTATTTCTGTGAAATACATCATTGGTATCTTAATAGGTATTGCATTGAATCTATAAATTGCTTTGGGTATTATGGACACTTTGATGATATTAATTCTTCCAATCCATGAGCACGGCATATGCTTTCATTTATTTGTGTCTTCCTTAATTTCTTTCTTCAATGTTGTATAGTTTTCTGCGTACAGGTCTTTTACCTCCTTGGTTAAATTTATTCCTAGGTACTTTATTTTTCTTGTTGCTATATAGAATGGTATTTTTTTCCCCTGATTTCTTCTTCTTCTATTTCATTGATGGTGTACAAAAATGCCTTTGATTTCTGAATGTTGACTTTGTATCCCGCTGTTTTGCCAAATTCACTTATTAGATTGAGTAGTTTTTTGGTGGAGTCTACAGGGTTTTCTATGTATACTATCATGTCATCTGCAAACAATGATAGTTTTACTTCCTCCTTTCCTATTTGGATGCCTTTTATTTCTTTTTCTTGTCTGACCACTGTGGCTAGGACTTCCAGTACCATGTTGAAGAGAAGTGGTGAAAGCGGACAT